CCAGGTTTAAAGCAGAAGACAAACACACACAGAAGTTCATGGTAATCACTCGGGCTTCTGTCTGAAGGATTAAAGGATTAAAGGACTAAGGAAAGAGTACTTGGTCCTTTTAAAGTAGGTGTAGTAGACAGACCCTTGTTTGCATTCTGTTTCCCTGCAGAACAAGTCAGCACACTGACAGCACTTGTGTTGTGATCATGCTCAGTTTTAGCAGGCATAACACAGCTGTTCTCACAAAGTTCCTGGAAGAAATCAGGGACATTGCACTCCACAGCTGGGAGCCGGGAAGAGGACGGTAACCCCACCAGGCTGGGCAGGTGGCCTGTGTCCACCTCCACAGGAGCTGTCAAGCACATTTTAGCAAACGAGGTATCGCAGGTGATCTGAAAGACTGGTGGGGAATCCTGAGCTGACGAACTTTGGTATGGATTTGAAACAGCAACCTTGCTGTTGATTTGCTCATTCCTACAGTCACCATTTCTGCTCTGTGGCTGACATACTCAGCAACATTACAGAGATCAGCCCAGATCAGTCTTTTCCTACTCCCTCTCCTTCCACAGCCTTTGCATTGTTGTACTACAAATGGAGTGCCAGCACAAAGCAAAGCCCAGAAAGACAAACTCATCTGGACGCCAGAAGCAATCAAGCTGTGTTAACATGTCATCCTACTCAGCTCCTTTTGATTTATAGAAAGCAGCAAAGCAATACCAGGCTAATGTGACTGTACTGTTTCTCATGCCTGAACTAGTTTGTTTTGGTGTAATTCAGATCTTCCTGCATGAAACTTTAATGCTTACTTTGCTGGAAAACAGACTGTCTTCTCATGCGCCAATGTCCACTGCAAAAGACTGAGGGGTCCCAGTCACTGTTTGCTTTCTTTGTCTTTCTCTATTACTGAAACTCCTTTATCTTCTGTGCATCTTGCGGTTTCAAGAGCTTTCTTCCAACACTCTCACGTGTGCAAAAAGACACAATCTTCAACCTCCTTGTGAAACAACTAAACTGATTTTCCTTTCAGTGAAGAATCCAGTTAGAAAAAAAAAAACAACTTAAAAAATCCTAGGTCAAACAGAAAACAACATAAAAAACCAACATAAAATATACAAAAAATAAAAAATGTACAAAATAAAGAACAAAAAGCCAGCATTAGATCCTCATACAAACTACACCTGTTCTGTTCTTCACCATCAGAAAGAAGGTATTTTGTTACCATTTCAGGGATTTTATAAGAAAGCTAGCGATGCATACTAACATTCATTCAAAGTCTGTTTCTCAGGCCCTGCTTCAGTGTGTCTTGTGGACCTTCTCTCCAACCCACCTCACCCACACTCCCCCTCACCTGCTGTTCCTTCTCTGCTGCTACACCCTCATTGCAGTCCCTGGTTGCCCACCTCCCTATGTGATCAATCTTCTGTCGGGTCCATCGTTGTATATCTGATATTCACATCACCTTGGGCAGCCTGTTTGCATTGTTTCAGTCTGCTCTCTGCCCCCCCTTCGGCTTCCAAGTGAAGAGATATCGTTTCTCACTTCCTTCTTTGCTCGCCCTTGCTGCGAATTTTCACTCTCCCTGCCTTGTTTAACTGTCACCTGTTCTATCTATTTCACTCTTGCTTTTTTTTGTTCAACATCAGAAACAAAAATTCTAATACAACCTCCAGTATTTTTTTTTTGCATGGTTGTTAGGATGAGATTGGGTTTAATTTTGTTACAGACGATGTCATTAACTACATTCAAAATGCAGCTATGTATCCTAAAAAACACATGCCTTTCAGCTCCTAGCAACAGCACAGAACAATACAGGCTAACAGTTTGGCGTGAAACACTGCATACCTCTAGCTTCTACAGAAAGAAAGACTTTTCAGAGAAGTACAATAAATTCTCCTCTTTCTAGCCTGCACTCCTCCTGGGAATGCAAAGGCTGAAAGCCCACAGACTTGCTGTTCAATCAAAACAACCTACCATCTGCAGGCAGGGGCTTAATAACAACCAAGAAAAAGTAAGCAGGAACATATAGATACAAATATATGCAGATATATTTTTTTTCTTCTTAGAACTCTTCCCTGAAATTCGTAATGAAAGATTTTACAAACAGCAAGAGCCCAATGCATAAGCTGAAGATGCTCGTTGGCATCACTCTTCTGCCTTCACCTGTGACAGATGGAGTCATGAGACAGGTTCAGCTTCTAAAACTCTTCATTCCTCAGGATTTGAATTTATAAGAACCTGTGTTTTAGGATCTGGGACTCATCCAATCTCTGGTTCAGAGTCAGAGTCTACTCCCTATAAATAATTTGAAAATAAACTTAATTTAAGGAAATCTTAAGAAAGCAGGAAAAAAAATCTGCAATCCGTCAGTCAGAAATACAGTAAATATCAATTTGCATTTTAGCAGAGTTATACTTACCTCAGGTCTTTATGCAGTCATTGGAAGGATCAGATTCATACAACAGCTACAGTTTTCCAAGTTTTACAAAGTAGCTCTACCCTACTTGCATGACAGCAGCAACTACCAACTCTCGTGATCAGTTTAAAACATGCACCAATAGCACAGCTTATAGGCTGATCCTCTTCAGGCTTTATGTCACAAAACAAGCGGCTGTCTTAAAAGGAAACCACCAAGTTTCTTAGGAATTTGTGAGCAGTTCCAGTTTCACTTTCGGTGTTCCATTCTGAATGTACTCTGAGTGCAGTGCTCTGTATTGCACAGAACATGCATTCAAATAAATTTATTCAAAGCATTCTGTACAATTTATATGCTCAAATTTTGCTTTTAATTACACTTATAATTTTTTGCTGAATTTATACCCATTTAGAGCAATATACAGCCTTGCCATCTGAACTTGCATTTACTAGGACCATTCTGCATTCATGAAACTGTCAAGTTACATTTTCTTAATTTTCATCATACTGATTTTGCAAGAGTCCCTCGAGAGATTACTAACATTTGCAGAACACATTTCCTGATAATTTTCATCTATATCCATATTACAAAAAAAAAAAAGAAAAAGAAAGTAGTCAAACACTGATGCCCAGCAAGGTTGTGAGTCTCCATCCTTGCAAATACACCAAACAATTGGATTTAAGTTGGCCCTGCTTTGGGTGGAAGGTTGGACTGGGTGACTGCCAGAGCTCCTTTACAACATAAAGTATTCTATTTTCTTAAAAAAACTTACCAATGGATGTCTTTGTGCATTTTACTGTTACTAGGCACTACTTACTTCCATACTGCAGTTTATCACTCTGTCTTCTAATTTATGACAACATCATGAGTGGGAGAACATTAAAGGGGATACAGTGGTCTCTCCCCAGGTTTCTCGGATGCATTAGTGCTGCAGGTAGGACACACACAGCTTCTGTTTCCTTTAATTCCCCATCACTTGGAAGAATTGTGCTTCTGCTCTCCACACAATAATGGCTGTGGCTTTAGTCCCCTTCGAGCACAAGTGTTATGAGGAGAGGCTGAGGGAGCTGGGGTTGTTCAGCCTGGAGAAGAGGAGGCTGAGTGGAGACCTTATTGCTCTCTACAACTACCTGAAAGGAGGGTGTAGAGAGGCAGGGGTTGGTCTCTTCTCCCAAGTAACAGGCGACAGGACGAGAGGAAATGGCCTCAAGTTACACCAGGGGAGGTTCAGGCTGGATATTAGGAAATTTTTTTTCATCAAAAGGGTTATCAGACATTGGAATGGGCTGCCCAGGGAGGTGGTTGAGGCCCCATCCCTGGAGGTGTTCAAAAGACGGGGTGATGTAGTGCTGGGAGATATGGTTTAGTGATGGTGTTGCTTTTTGTTTGTTGTGGGGGTGTCTATTTTTGTCAAAATTAGGTTGACGGTTGGACAAGATGATCTTTAAGGTCCCTTCCAACCTAGAATATTCTGTGATTCTGTAAATCCTGGCTGTTTTGGGACGATGTATGATGGTGGCCTGCCTCACAGTTCCAGTCTGATTCAGATTGTGAAATCATATCTCCTGCTGCCTGGTGCAGAGCAATCCATCTCAACAAAACCACTGTTATACTACTTTTCATTTGTTTGTTTGTTTTTCTGTAAACTTTTCCTGCATAGCGCTGTCACATAAAGTAATTCCTGGGTAGCCTGCCCTTTTTCCAGAAAACCTCCAATCACCTCTGGGGCAGCTGTCAGAAGTCAATGGTTTAGATGATTCGACCCTTGAAGAAAAGAGAAAAGTCCCAGAGAGAAAAGGGCCAGAGTGGAGCTTGATCTATGATTTAAAATCAAAATCAAGTTTGCCTGATATTCTAACACTTTAAGTAAAAGCAAAGGGCAAAAGATGACAGCAAACTGGGGTCTGTGCTCTTTTTGTAGGTATGTGAGAGCGGGGGAATTTAATCTTCCTCAGACACTTTTTCCTGACTGATGCTTATGCCTACTTTTCTCTTCATTCCATCTTTACCCTCCACCTGCCACCAATTCTCAACGGCCTTGTTTGCTTTGCGGCCTTCCGCTCTAAGACAAATAGCCACTGAGGAATTCAAACACTGGCATTTGGGATGGCAGGGTTCAGCTACAGAACTTAAAAATACATTTATATGCCCTCATTTCATTATCTAACTCTTCTGATATACAGAACTCTCAGGAGTAGCTTACCTTAGGTAGACTGAGGTCGCAGTACTGATTAAGAGATGCACTTCTCTATCCTACTAAATAGTGTACCTTGCTGAGATGTATTAAACATAACTTTACATTAGCTAGATAGAATACTGCCAGCAGTGAAGCTCTGGGCTGAGGGCTGCATTCACATGTTTAGGACTGCACAACAGACTCATTTATTTTAAACTTAAAAATAAAACCTGAATCCAGTGAGATTCCAGATCTCCACTGCCTGTCCTTCGTGGGAGCCATTAGAGGGATGACAGGGGCATAGATACTATTCTGTACCCAAATCTTAGATATCTAAATTTCACAGAAAAAAAAACCCAAGTACTGCTAACACTATTTATTAAGTCAGAAAGACAAGGAAGAAACACAAGAAAAACAATATATCTTTTATTAAAAAAATATAATAGTGAATAGCATTGTAATAAATATTCTTCATCTGTGTATGACACCAAAAAAAAACCAACGCTATGCAACTAGCAAAATGTAACAAAGCAATAGTTTAAGAAATGGAATCCAGGAGCATGTTCCCTCAGCATTTCTTGAGGAATCACATGAGCATGCATTTCATGTCCTAGAAGTGAGAAGGTTCTCCTTCTTCTATTTCCATGATGAACAAAAAGGCAGTTCAAATGAAGAGCTGTTCTTCCTGAATGTCCAAAGAGTTGCATTATCCCCAAATGGTAAATCTGAAGAGTAATGAGCAGCAACCAAGTAGTCCCAGCTATATTGCAAGGAAATTAAATCCCCAAAATACTTTTCAGAGAAAGAAATCATGAAGCTCAGTATTATCTTATAATTTCCAAACTATAGTTACCAAGAGGGTTACAGCATCTTTTTCAAGGTTAGCAGTGAATATCTGGTACTTTAAGATCTACAGTAGGGACAGAAAATGCCCTATCTATATAGCATCTTGTCTTGTTGCACCCTTATCTTTTCTGAGGATCAAAGTATTCAAAAAAATCCTCAAAAGCTGGAATACAAAATCTCTGCAGGGAACCAAGAGCTCAAGAGGTTGGGAAAAACAAAACAAAACAAAAAAAAAGTTCAAATTCTAGAAGACTGCCTACTCAAGAACTAGCTATGAAATTCAGGATGGTCATAGACCTAAAGTGCTTTACCTTAAAGATATTTTTAATGAAATGAGTCTTTGAAAGTGCATGAACTTAAGAAAGCACAATCCTGGATATTTAAGCAAACACCTCTGTACTTGGTCACATATACAGAAGACTGAATTCAAGGACTTTTTATGCTATAATAATTCTATTAACTTCATCCCAGGTTTTTTTGAATTACAAGGATATGGAAGAAGACTGGCATTATAGAATAAAAACAAAAAATTAATGTCCCCTTTAATAGACACAATACAGAACATCTGAGCTGTCAAACCTTCAGCACAGAGGAAAAAATCTTCCCCTGCTTTCTCTAGGTCTTCTCGATTTGTATATCTGTAAAAAAAAGAATTATATGAAAAAATTACCAAATTACAAAATGATGACATCACAGAACATTTCATGGCTTTGGGACTCTTTCCTAGAACTTGGAGGTACCAAAAAAAAATTCCTTCATTATCAAAATTACAGATCTGAAATGAAATTAATAAAAAATGTCAAATAGGAAAAGAAGATGGTCATGGGAGGGAATAAAGCAGTAGACAGTTCAGACACACTGGCGGGAAGTGCTCTTTAGCAAATCCGGTGGAATTGCTGTGGCTTAGGTCCCTCATTCTGTTAAAATCTTTTAAAGTCTTTCAAATATATCCAGTGCTCTATCTGTTGGCATCCCCAGCAGCAAATCCCCAGGCCCTGACTCTTTTACTTGGAGATCTATACCTGCAGGATCTTTGTGTTTACACCAGTAAAGTGCAGCAGGGAGGGATTTGGGGTGTAATTAATAAGTACTTCAGAAGAGTGAAAGGAAAACTTCACTCTCTTGTTCCATACCACTGTATGTTTTAGAGATTTCAGAGATTTGGTCATTTATTTTCTTGCTTTGCTGAGACAGAATCTCTCAGCTTGAGACTTGCTTGAGCGGCCCTTATGGACTAAGGTCTCCCTCCCCATTGCCATCACCACTCCTTCAGTTGTGCTGGCACAGCTGTTTCTGTAGCAAAAGTCTGAGCTAGGGAAAAGACCAATTTGGGTTGTTATACATCTCCACATCCCGTTTTCCCTAGCATGGCTTTTCTTTTTATTTTTAAAACCAGATTAATTATTTTATATAAATCCCAGTACACAATGTGTTAGGATGGTGAGTTGTAGGACAGAGAACGGGAAGCTGCACTTCGTTTGAAAGCTCTGTCTATTGAAGCAAGGGACTAAATAAATCAGCCATGAGTCAAGGCTCTGATGATCCCAGATGATTCATGATGTCTGCAATTTGTTACTATTTTCCCCTTTATCGTTTATACTTACATTTCAGCTCTTCCTCTTCAAAAGAAGCATCTCTGTGGTCATGTGTATCCTTATCTTTTGACAGCTCTTTAAACAAACGACAAACATACAGATAGCAGTTTTTAACAAAGATTTACCACTATATGAAAAGTTTAATCTATGCTGACTGTTATCTCAGGCTGTCCAGTAACAATGTGACTTAAACGCAGATCAGGAGCAGAGATTAATCCCAAATGCTTTATCCATTCGGGCCAATCATTCTCAAGAGAGGTTTCTGTAGGAAAAACCCCAACTGCCAGTATGAACTAACTTTCAGACAGCAGTTTAATTTGAAGTGGTCTCCAAACAAAACCACACACCAAATTTAAAAAAACCACCAACCACGAGCCATTATGGCTAAAGGGTTTCAATCTCTTCTCTCCTGCTCTAAATATTAACTCTCTCCACTCCATCCTCCATTTCTGACTGTCATGGTGGCACTGGCCATTCACTGAGATTTGCTCATGGCAAATAGCATCAGAATCTCAACAGAAGGAAAAAGAAACTGTTAGGGAAGTTAAAGCTTCTTCCCGTGTTCCTCTCAGAAGGCCAAGCTGCCTGTCCTCAACATTGTGACAAAGACCCTCAGATGTACACTATTACACGGGAGAAGACACAGGATCATGCCAGTGTGGCTTAAATTGCAGCACAGGGTCTGTGCTGCATCCTGAGGTGTATGTTCCAGGGAATGTGTCCCCTCCTATCACAGACTTTCCAAAGCACAGCACACCACTATGTGCCTTTTCTTGTGCGTATCAGGATTGCACCTGCTTTCCTTCCATGTTTTCCTTTCATGAAGTCAACACAGCAATGAAAAAACCACTCTTCAATGTAATTTATAGTTGTTACATAAGTGAAAAATAGGAAGTAAAATGAAAGTTGATTGTAACTCTGCAATTGGTTGTCACCCTTACAAAGTAAATTCTCAAGCAATTATTTCCACAAGAAACACAATGAGCTAGATTTATGCTGTATGTACATACTTGCTATTGATGAACTGGCCACAAGTATTCTGTTGTTCTTTTTTGCTCTAGCTGAAAGAAAACAAGAGAGAAAAATCAAAAAGACGACAAAATACTCTACTCTAGATCTAATGGGTGCTTAAGCAGACTGGTGGGAAAGGCACACTTAGCATAGGGTAATCATCGGTTCTCAAAACACTGAATTTCTTCAAAGACTTTAAAATATATTCTTCAGTGTCCCAGTCTGTCAGTTTCCTTTCCAATTTCCTTTTCTCACTTCTAAGCCAGAACTCTGTCGGTACTGTACACTAAGATCACTGATAAACACTTGTTCAAATGGTTTTCCATTGTATATTTTCACTCAGTATTTGAACAGATTGGGAAAGAGGGAACAAGAAGGGGATCACCCTCTCAGTGCTTTTTGAGGGGAAAAAAAGCCCATATTCCAGGGAGGTTCCATTCTGGAAGAATCACTTGTCTAGTCACTTAGGACACCTTGGGTTTTAAAAGAAAAGCCTGTTGCTACTACTTTAGCTACCAAATCAACTTGGAGGCTGTCACACTTACACATATATATAACATTAGCACGATAGTCACATACATCACAACATGTATATACATTATCATGTATACACATTAAGCAATAAGCATTACGCAAGCAACCTAGGAAACTTCTGACCTTCACTGAAATCCCCAGAAGGGAATCTTCTGAGAAGTCAAGGAGTTTGCTCTCCTTTCTTTCACTTTCATGTTCTGCTCCTACTCCTATCATGTCCTAAGAACAAGTATATTCTTATATATGCAGCGTTATCTACCCCAGCCCTGCCTCCTGCAGTCTGCTAGCATCACCTGCAAGCCTGCCCAGCTTACAAACACTTTTTCCAGGACATGTTCCCATAGCACGGATACAGGAGATTCATCTGTGGCCAAAACAGTGAATATCCACATTTAGTTCTATCTTGTATTTATTTTATGGAAATTGAACATGAGTGCTCGGTGAAATGGATCGTTTTGTGTAATTTCCAGACAGAAATTAGGGTTGTTTCTGGTTTTCACTGTGGAAAAGAGAGCTGGGAAACAGGAAAACCAACAGTTCTGCTATACCACCTTGGAAAGTACACCTCTCTTAGCGTGGAAGCATGTGAGATACCACTTGAAAAGACAGTACAACTAGTTTTTGCATTAGTTCCATCTGAGTTCCTTGTTACCTACACACATTTACATCTCCTGTAAAATTCAGTATTTGCGAGAGGACCATTTAGTTAACTATCATATTCTGATTTTTTTGAGCATTTATGGTAATAATTTACAGAGTTATACCACTATAATATTATAATGCTAAGAATACTGGTCAGCTTGTACTTTTTCTCTGCAGACAACTTGACTAAAATAAAATTCAAGAAGTTATTTGAAAAAAAAGAGAAGTCACTATGTATCAGCTAAAAAAAGCCACAAATTTGGATTTTTTTTTATCCAAAAATTTTTCTTTTTAAAAAAAATTTTTTGGATCCACAAGCCAGAATGTTCAGCAAAACCACTTTCCTTTCAACATTTTCAAATGAGTCTTGTGAATGTTCTGAGATCAGCAGGACTTTATTGTATCTGCTAAAATAAAAAGTACCCCTGAATATCAAATGCTCAAACAGACTTACCTTCTGTCCAAGGGAAAAAAAAACCCACAACCACCAAAAAAAAAAAAAAAAAAAAAACAGCTACTCCCCACCTCCCCTCCTGCTGCTCCGAGAGTGATATCCTCTGGCAGGGACACAGAATCACAGAATCACCATGGCTGGAAGGGACCTCTGAGATCATCAAGTTCAACCTTAAAAAAAAAGGAAAAAAAAACCCCAAACCCCCAAAAAAAAAAAAAAAAAAGTAACTACTTATTTCAGGTTAAGCAACACATTTCAGACATTTTTTCTTTGATTTCAGGGCAAACTGTATTCTTTTCATGCTTAGATACCCTAAAACTTTCTCCAAGATTTTATTTTGTTTGCTAGCAAGTGAAAACAAATTACCACCACTGCTTTAGCTCTTCAGCGTAATGTGATGCTGAAAATGTCCAGGTCAAGTCGTTGAAGTGAACTGAAAAAAGCTCAAAACTTAACAAGGGAATGAACCAAGTGGTATGAAGCCACAGTGGGAATATTTCTTCTTGTGAAAAAAAAATGTTTCAGACTCAAACCTGTATCACCTCATATGTAGTCCAATGTTTTTATGTTGTTTTAACCAGAATAAAGATATACATACAATTAGACCACTTTAAAAAAAAAGGCACTCACAGTTCAGTGAAATTTCTCAGCAAATGCAGGGAAAAAAACCTCTAAAAACCCTTTTATTATCTCATTCCACCTCTGCAAGGATGAATTAACAGAGCAGATTGATCGTTAAGAGAGATGATACACTAAAATAAAAAATTTTAATACCTTTTTTTATGTAGAGCATAAATAGAAGCACTGATCCAACCAAAACAGTCACAATGAGAATTGCTCCAACAAAGCGTCTGCTCTCAGTCCACGGAACACTATCAGATGAATCTTCGAGAAAAGCAAAAACAAGTTAGGGAAAGACATTATGTAATTGCAGAAGCTTCTCCCTTTTCCTTTCACTGTCACATTATTTTCACTATCAGCAGTTCAGACATCATAATAGCATTTCAGATTTTGTCTAAGGTCAGGTCCTGATGGTGCTCTTCACCATATCTCATTATCCCAATAAAGGAAAAAAAAAAAAAAAAGATAGAGCATATTCATATTTGCTTCCTGCATTCCATGTGATAGTACCTTTGATTCCCGTCACAAATCCTGCTTCTCAGCAGGATACAAAGTGTGACATCTATATTAGTTTCCCATCAGGAAAGAGCTCTTTGAGAAAGAGGACAGAGAGTCCCTTTCATCTGGTAAAGCTCTGAGTGCAAAGGGTAAGTGGCCTCCTTGACTCCCAGAGTCATTTCTTGTTAAAACCAAACTTGCCCGGTCACCACTCATTCAAAGGATGACTTGGCTTTCTCACTCTCAGCTGTTTGTTTCCACCCCTTGTCAGTCCCAAAAAGTGTGCCAGCAGAGGCATTTTTAAAACTGCACAGTGAACAGGACCAAGAAAATGACCTGAGGAAGTAACCATCTGATAAACAGAAATGTTATTTTTGAGTTAGATCAGTGTGGTTGAAAGCTTGTGCAATCATTTCAAGGCACAATGCAAAAATTTAAAGAGTAAGCGAAAGTAAAAGCAATAGGGATGGTGCCCAGGTAAAAAGTCTAACAAGAAATTGTATTAGTCTTCTCCATTCATGCATCTTCCTTCAATCCAGTCTTTACGAGAAAAAAAACTGCTTTCAATTTGTTAAATTTAAATATGTTCAAGGCAAAGGCTGTAGTGGCAGGAAAAGATCATATTGTTCATATTTGACAGTTATCATCAGCAAAACAGAACGTTCTTGGAAAGTGTTTTTAATTTATACGGGAGGCTTTCCTTCCTTGGCTCTGAGCTATATGCTTTTCAAAAATGGAACTTCTTTTAACTCACAGACTCAATTTTCACTTAACTGTAGGTCATGTAAAATTCCTGTCCTTGAATTCTCTCCACACATGCACGACGAATAAGTTAGTAGGTGGAAGTGTATTCTAATAGCAAAACTTAACAACACAGGTACTTCTTTTTAGCCTTTTCAAAATGAGATAGGAAAGAGAAACAAATCTGATGGCTGAAACAAATGGCTGATTCAACTGGAACAAGGTGACATCGTACCTTGAAGTGTAATTACATAAATTAAATTTAGAAATGTTACCTGCTATGCGTAAAATGGCAGATGTATTCTCTTGCAGCTCTTTATTCCAGAATATACAGTAAAAAATCTCATCCGTCCTACTTTTGATTGTAAGGGTACTTGTCACACGATACAGCTGGTCACTTCCAGTTTTGTAACTTGTGTTTGCCTTATCGGTCAAATCTTCATATTCTCTGTTTTGCCATATCACTTCAGCCTGTGGGTATCCTTCTGACTGACATGTCAACTTCCATTTGTTGTCTCCTGTGCTCACCACTCTTTGGGTTATAGTTCTATAAGGAGCTAAACAAATTGAAAAAAATTATTACTAGTAGGAAGCTAGCAGAAAAGCATAAATTAGCAAGAGACCTTTTCTTTACCCCCTAGCCCTGCGTCACGTTTCTGTACGTCAGCTTGGATTTTGTAAATCACAGTCTTGACAGGAAAAGTAAATATAACTATTGTGTCCCTCCATAGTAACTAGAGGTACAGGATTTATTACAATTTGAATGCTGCTTAGAAAAGTGCATTTGCTTTCTGGTCTTTGTCCTGTCTAAATGGTTTTGCAACACTATTTCTCATGCGTCATTATGGGAAATAAAGAACAGAAAATGGGTTCAACCTAGACAGAAACACAAAGCAATCCAGCTGTGCAAGGCCCGTGAGGCGGTTCCTGTCTCCAGAAAGATTTCTTTAAAATGCTAACCCGGATATATGTCGCCTCAGGGACTCCTCTGAAATCTTTTAACAGTACCAGACAGCATTGAACCTCCTGCAGTAGCGCACTCACCCTTAACTTTGAGATTAATTGTCTTGTAGTCGGCTCCCCCATAGCCAATGACACAGCGGTAAAACCCTGCGTCTCTGAGCTTCACATCAGTGATCTGAAGGAGAGACTGTCCCAAGTTCAGATTCTCTTTCAACAATTTAATTCTCCCCCTAAAGTCACTGTGCTGGCTTTGGAAGTCTTCCTCTCCTTTGAGAAGTACATACACCTGCTTCTTTAACTCATCATTCTTTTCCCAGCTGACACTTAAATCTCTAAACTTTAATTTCCCATTCACTGGAAACGTGCATTCCATGGTCACGTTGTTCCCATGTTCCACAGTGTACAATGTCTGGGGAGCTTCAACTGTGAACAAAGCTGAAAAACAAAATTTTCCAATTACAAGCCTAATCTTCAAAATCACGTTTTACCATATACATGGGACATTTTACGGATCAAAAGTATCTGCCCTGTTCAGAGAAGTTAAACATTTTTATGAGCACTTGCCCAAATTTTGGACAAACTGGGTTATTTATACGTGCAGACAGCTGCTTTGTGCACACACGCAATGTGACGCTGTCCTAAAAATAGGCAAGTGTGTGTGTGCACGTCTCCTCAGCTGTTGCTTTCAGAACACTGCCACCATAACGGACAATTGCTAGTGCTTCAGATGGGAAAGGTATGTTTACAGAAACGTCAATTGTTTTTACACACAACGTTAAAGAATACATGAAATTCCCAGATTTGACAGTGCCACTAAAAATTTTCGTGCAAGGCAAATGGTGCCTTGTCTGAAATGGTGTCCACGCCAAAACACTGACAGGGATTTTCACCTGGCCCCTTATCAAAACACACATATCTAGTTTAATGTAAAAGCATGCTGAGACCCTTTTATTTAAAACATTAAGGAAAAAACCTCCAAATGCTAGCACCTGAAGGAAAACAGAAATTAATAGTTCTGTGCTTATACAATGGAAAGGAAACATATTTAAACACTTCTACTGCTTCTTACAACTCAGCTTCTTACCATTTAGGAAATCCCAGTAGAATAAAAACATATACAAAAGCAAAGCCTTCTCCATGATGTAGATAGAACCTAAAATGATAAAATAATAGAGGAATATAAGTATCTGCTCATTTTTCAACTTGGACTGTAAAATACATTTTGTAGTCGCTCCACACAAAGAACAGGGCAGAAGGCACTGAATTCCACTGTAGCCAAAACCGTGACAAAATTGCACCTTTAACTGCAGGAGACGATCAAGCGGAAAGCTTCCCGCATGGGTACAGGAAGAACATCTGATTTTATTTGCTTTAAATATTTGTCCTTCATTACAGAAAAATACATGCTTTATTACTATCTGCCAAATAGTCAATAAACAATCCCAAATACGCAATTGTTCCCCTAGATTGTAGCAGGGAGTATTGCTCCTGCCTGGAGGAGAATGGAGGAGTTTTCTACAGACGTTCAGTGGAAGGAATGGAACTTAGTTCTTCCCCACCTGTTTCCCTGACTTTAACACACTGTGAACATACCCTGTTTTATAACACCTGGCCTCATAGTACTTGTCACGGGGTTCATGAAGTTACGTATATTATGAACAGAATACATGTGGTAATTAATCACTTAACGGGCATTTACAAAATAGTGCCTTCGTGAAACAGTGCCAAAAACAGTCAGCCTACAAACAAAATCTGTTTCTTTAATTTCCACTGCTCCACCTCTGAACACATAAGTTATTTCCATTTTCTGACAGAAGTTTTTCCACTCTTTATTGACATAGCTTTTATACTCCTGCACAACACTGTACCATTATAAAACGCTGATTAATGTCAAGTCACACGCTTAACCTTCACACACCCACTGCACTTACTAAGTGTGTATTTTAAGTCATGGGAATACTAGTATCAAGCACCACCATCATTTTTCAAGTTGCTCTCAAGAAAAATTCAAATTCACTGTAATTGAAGCCTTTCATGAGCATAGAGAACTGTAGAATTTTATCTAAATAACGTCCTGCATTTGGACACCCAAACAGCCACAAAAGTAAAGAAAGATTGCCTTCAACTGTTTTCTAGTGGTAATTTCAGCATTTGCATCAGAAATTAGGCAACTGTAATACCCGTCACTCTTCGTAACTGATGAGATTCTATCCAGACTGCAACTCTTACCATTTCTGGTAAAATGTTTTGTCTTCCTTCCTCTAGTTGCCAACTTTAAGATGTTAATAAAGTAACAAGATTAAGCAGAGTGACAAGAGTAACTCCACTGCCCGACTGCTGCTGCCCGATCCCAATAGCAGGTTTGCAGAAGGTAACACAGATGGCACGGAGAAAGGGAGTCAATCTAATACTTTGTTAGGCAGGCACGAGCAATAACAGAAGGATGTTCTGCTAACAGGGACAAGAAAATGCAAGCAAGATCCTCAGGGTGAAAGCTCCGTTTCATTGGTAAATAAATCCCAGGCTTCTCAATGTAGTTAGGTACCCAATTCATCCCTTAGCCACAAGAGACGCTCTCAAAATAACTCACAAACCACTGCCTAATCCTGTGGGTACCTAGGAGTGTGAGAGTACCTCCTTCATGATGCCACTGCCTGAGTAACAAACAGTCCAGGCCACCAACTGAGCTCCAGAGTAAAGCTGCTCCAACAAGACAGAGGCATACCCATCTCACAAGTCTACTCGGATCAGGCGTACTCTAGAGGCAAGCCTGCAGAAGAGCCAGCCACTGACACCCATGAGCGTAGGTGAGCACCTCTCTGCACTCCCCACAGCTGGAATGACCACAGTTGTAGCACACTCAGCCCCAAAATACTTCCTACTTTTTTTAAAGTGTCTGAGGGACTGCTCAAAACAAGTAATAGCACGTGCACTCCAGTCACAGAAAGATACCCGCACCCATGCATGCAACCCATACCCACTTTTTTTTTTTCAGGAAGTCTGAATGTTGGTATGAACTCCAGAAGCAGTGTTCTGTTAACTCATGGAAGATGGATGACAAGTAAGCTTTTACAGTTCCAAGACCCATGCTTGTGTCCTGCAATTGCTGAACTTTAATTTACATGCTTTCTCCCACTGTGCAGGAAAACAAGCCTTACTACACACAAAAGAAGTTAAGACTATTACTTACGAAATTCCTCAAGACTCAAAAAGTCTGCTGCTGCGCTCAATTTTTCACTTTCATAGAGAAAAAAAAGTTGGTCCGGGTCAAATCCAGAAGCATGTGAAAAAACCTGCTGCAATGACCGTTACAGACCCTTATCCTGTTCCACCTTGAGCAGAAGGATCCCCTGGCTGGATCAGTTGAAGCAGCTGGAGACCTAGATGCCAATCAAAGTTTTTTACCAAAGCTGCAGTCTTCTCACTATTTTTCTTACAGAACCTACCACAATGCCTCTTCTCTCCTCCTGCCGGTTTCTGAAATCTATGGCAAACACAGTTTTACAAAAGCTAAAAGGTATTCACTGTGCACAACGCTCTTCTGTGTTGCTGCTTTATGCTTCCTTCCCAATCAAATGAAGAAGACAGAAAAACCAGAACTGTTTGCCCAGTAGCGACAGAACTTAAATGTTGATGTAACTCCACCTACTTCTTGAGGAAACTTCCCCAATATCTGAAAATTCCCCACTAGGGAAAATTCTCTATTGCTAACAGTGGTTCCCTGTAACCAGAGACAGAAATGTTGGGAAAATTAGCACATAAAATGCCACAGGCATTTTAAGAAACATGCATCTGATCAAAGCTGTGTCATCAACAGTCCTTGGAACACCAGTCGCAAGAAGTCATCCTTTACCCAAACCAGGGTCCCTACTGCACTCCTCTCAAGCGGTGCCAAACAGCTGCTGACAATGACTGGAAAATGCTAGACAACTTACTCATGTCTGCAAAAGTCGTAACAAGGAATAATGGAAAGCATTGCCTACCTCTTTCTGGTAAGAGCAGATATTCTCTGTTTAAGATTTGAACCCAGCGAAGGCCCCGTGCCTTACCACTGTGTAGTGCAAGAAGAGTTGTCAAGTTTTAGCAAAAAAATAAAGAGTGCTGTCTTTTTCTTGATTTTAGAAGTGAGTCAAGGCAGAAGAAAAAAAAAATCAAACCCAAGTGTTAGAAGCTAAAGGATGTACTCACATTAACTTGCAGACTGTAGAGGGATAAGCTGGTTAACAGTATGACATACAACCTTAAACATACATTTCAGAGTAAGTTCACTCACTTACGTTGTCTTTGCATATCTCAAGAAAGGGCTGAGGTTCTCGGAAGAGTTAATATACTCTGACCACTTAAATGACCACTTAAAAGTTTTCAGGAGATATTTTCTTCTTTCCACTTGACAGTCCACCCACAGTATCTGTCATGGAAGCAAAAAAAAAAACCCGATAAACAAGACTGTTAAAGAGCTAACCTTTTTACTTGATATGTGGGAGTTATGTAGAGCCAACGGTATATGAAACAGCTGAATGTACGACTTGTGTTCGAATAACCTGAAACTGTGTTAGGAGGTTGAGGGGGTGGATTTCCACAATAGGTGAGACCAATGAAGGTTAATTTCCACTGATTACTTCTGTCCTTAAAAACAGGTTTAATGACATTTTCTCAGAAAAGAAAAAAAGGTGAACCAAAAAGGAAACGAAAACAAACTTGTAAAATACTGACTGTGAGACCACAGAAGCCATTGATGTCGCTAGCTTTCAGTGTTATGAACATAGTTTCCTCTTTTTCGTTGCTTGCCTTTAGATCACAGGGTTGCTTTTTCCATGTGAGTATTTAGTAGCAAATCAAAGACCAGGACAGGTTTTTTTTTGGTTTGGGGTTGTTTGTTTTTTTGTTTTTAATTATATATATTCTGTCATATTGTTATATATATTTTGTCATAGAGATATATCTATAGACACAGACATACATTCTACATACACACACACATTTTACAGCACAGTTACATCCTGTGGCTGGTGGTTTTTCATTTGTCTGTTTGCTTGTTTGGTTCGACCCCCTCTCTGCAACAAGTTTTCCAGAGGAACACCTGGGACTGGCCTGTCACCGGGTGCTTCCTAACAAAGCCTATATGACCTGGCTTGCCTGCAGGCAGACATCCCCCCGGGAAAACAGGGGGGCGGCGGGGCAGGACGGGGGTCCCCGCGTAACCCTCCCGGGACCACCCGCCGCCGGCAGCCCCGCACCGGGATGAGCTCCGGGACCAACCAGGAGGCTCCCGGGGGCCGCGGACAAACACCGGCTCCCTCCCGGCTGGTGGTGGGGCAGAGACCC